CCCTCCCCCCCCCCCCCCCTCGAGCATGCATCTGTAATTAGTATTTGCTTTAAGAGGAAAGTACATGCATGTGCGAGTGGAACGTAAAATCTTGTGGTAGAGACCTTCAATATTCATTTTTCTTTCTGACCTCACTTTTAAATGCTTAAATTTTCAGATTAGAAAAAAATTAATGTTGTACTTGCATGCATAACAACACACAAAATAAGTAACCTTTGCTTGCTCTAGTCTATAATTTGGGTAAAGATTGGAGCTCAGGGGCATTTGATACATAGATATGGCAGATTTTATATTTTCATGCACTGCTATCTGAGCATATATGTCAATGCACACCATAACTCGAGGGTTTTATTGCAAAGTTATCACACAAGATAAATTTTTAAAAAAATCTTCTTACTAAGTAATGTTTTATTTATATCTAAGTGAATGTCTTAAATAATCTTAATTTATGCTTTACAATTACTTTGTGTGTGTGTGTGTGTCTGTGTCTGTGTGCATGCGCGTGCAATGTTGCATGTATAATTGCAGCTCCTTTTATGCACTGTCTGTTGATAAATTAATTGCCAGCTGCAATTTGAGTGTTAGTTTGAAACAAAGACTAGTGAAAACAGTTCTAGTGCAATTTGCATATATATTACAGTTTTGAAATGCTTATTCCTTGATTGTTCTACACAAAATTTAAATGTGTTGTTCATGAAGAAACCACACGTCAAGTTTAAAGGTGATTTAGTGTGTGCGTTTGTGTGTGTATATGTACATGTGCACATGTGTGTGTGAGATTTAGGATTAATATTGTAAAAGCATGCAAAAAAAAAAAAAAAAAACGAAAAAAATGTCCTGTTTGTCACATGTGTATACCTGACCTCTAATTTATAGATAGCTTATTTTTAAGTGTGAGTCACACCTGCACTGGACCCATCAGACAAAGAAATCTGCTCAGCTTCTTTCTTTAGTTGGCCTGATTACAGTGAGATTATCTGATCTCCTTTGTTGTTTGCGGGTT